GAGGGCCAGGAGGTCTCCCCTCAGCCTCCTCTTCTCCAGACTGAACCCCCCCAGTTCCCCCAGCCGCTCCCCAGCAGACCTGTGCTCCAGACCCTGCCCCAGCTCCGTTGCCCTTCTCTGGCCACGCTCGAGTCACTCAATGGCCTTTTTGGGGTGAGGGGCCCAAAACTGAACCCACTCATCGAGGGGCGGCCTCCCCAGTGCCGAGCCCAGGGCTCAGATCCCTTCCCTGTCCCTGCTGGCCACGTTATTGCTGATATAAGCCAGGATGCCATTGGCCTTCTTGGCCCCCTGGATAAGGTGGTTCATCTGGTATACTGGAGGATGCTGGTTTTAGGATGAGCTCCCTGATGCAGCTGGAACCGTCTCCAGCATCTGCTACCTAAACTCCAGCTGGAGGCTGCAGAGCACCCAAGGATTGTGTTTTCACCAGAGGCCCTGGGGAAGCTCTTGCACCACCGTGGTGAGCACTCTCAGCTGGTTTGGCCATCTCCTCAGTGCCGTGCGAGACGTGTCACCAGTGGCCCAGGTCAAGTGACAAGTGACACATCAAGGGACCAGCAGGCCCAGACAGAAAATGCATGAACAAGACAGAAACTGAAAAGCATCAGCATAAACCACCAGCTGAATCATTTGAAACAACAAGCTAAGCGAGGAAGATTAAAGGCTCTTTCTAGATCAAGTGTAAGCAGAAGAGGCTAAACTGAACAAGCATCATTTTTTTATCACCCTGCAGTTCTCAAAGTAGGGCTCAGGACCCATGAGACCCCCTGGCCACTGCCAAAGTATAACATGAAGGGGCTTTGTAACTCCCCTGTTGCAGCAGGGATTAAATAACAACGAAGAAACCCTCTTCTGACTACACTGGTGGAACTACAGCTCCCCCAAGTCCCACCGCTAAGGATGCATGCCCCTTAGGAAGGCTGGAAGGCACAGGCAGGATTCCACAGACTCATCTGGGTTGGAAAAGCCCTTGAAGCTCCTCCGGTCCAACCATGACCCTCACCCTGACCGTTCCCAACTCCACCAGATCCCTCAGCGCTGGCTCAGCCCGACTCTTCAACCCCTCCAGGGATCCCGGGGACTCCCCCCCTGCCCTGGGCAGCCCATTCCAACGCCCAACAGCCCCTTCTGCACAGAAATCCTTCCTCAGAGCCAGCCTGACCCTGCCCTGGATCTGTGATGTCAGGTCCAGGATGAAATTGCTGGTCACCAGCAGCTCCACGCCAGTGGACGATGAGAAATGGTTTCTTTATCATCCATTCAGGTGGCAGCCATGAGGCTGACAGGCTTTGCTTCTCAGCTCGATCACCCATGTGTCCCCATGTCCCTGTGGTCCAGCAGCATTCATCTGCACAGACAGAGGAGAGAGAACCACTTCCCTGCATCCATTTTTCCCGGAATTCATCCCATCCATTTGCAAGGCAGGAGCCCCAAGGAGAAAACATGCATTGGAGGTGCCCAGGAAAGCAGTGGGGACACACTCACCCGGCTTAGCCAGCCATCCTGGAAGGGGTTGCCCCTTTTCTGGCCCGCTGTGGGTTCACAAAAACCTGTGGGATACTTGGAAGGAACAGGAATGGGGACCTATAGATATCTGCTGCTCCTGGGAAGACGTTCTTCAGGATGTAGTTAATCATCCCAGCCAACAAAGGCAGTTTGTGGTACCCACAGCTTTGGTGTCCTGTGAGTGGGAGGTGCTGCCTGTTGCTGCCTGGCAATAATCCAGAGAGCAGGCACCGACCCAACACTCGCCGTTAAGTAGGAGCTGTGCTTTGAGGGACCGGAGGAACTGAGCAGGGAGATAACAAGGCTCTTGGGCTGCAAATCTGACCCTCTCACCATAAATGTGATTTCATATTCCACCCTCCCCGCACCTCACAAGCTGCTGCCTGGATCTGCGCAAATAAATCAGCTTTGCTGGCTGAGCTGTGGTGTGAAATCCCCGCCGGGAACCCAACTACAAAGTTATTGTAGGCAGAAGGACGTGAGCATGTAACCCCTGCTCTGCGGCGGGCTCTGCTCCTCCTGCCTGCACATCCCCACCCGCAGCCCTCGCCCGCCGCAGCCGCCCAGCCTCTGCTCGTCCCCAGCACGGGCCGTCCCTCCTGTCCCAGTTCTTGTAGCACCCTCAGGGGTTCGGGGAAGGATGACAGAGTTGATAAGCCAAGTGAAAAGGCAGGAGATGGGGATATAAAACAGGCAGAGGCTGTGAATAATGGCTCTTGGGTTAATTCATCCATATATACTTAACAGCGCCTGCTAAGACAGCTGAGCTACAGCCTCTGGCAGGCAGGCTCGGTGCCTGACTCCATCCCGTCATCCCAGCTCTAACCTTTCTCCCAGCCTGCTCTGATGCCATTTCTCTTTCTTAATAATATTAACACGCTGTCTTCTTTTGCACTTTTCATCCTTTAGAGATCCTCATTCATTAAGCCACAGGGCGCTATGGAGAGCAGTTATTAACCTGCTCTCCTGGCTCCCTCCTCTCCCTCCCAGGGGAAACTGAAGCACAGGGAGATCAGGGCTGGCACAAATCGCAGTGTGCACCAACATCCCACGGGCAGCCCGTGCCGGCATCACCCGCTCAGGGACAAGGCAGTTGTGAAGGAGGTCCATTTGGCCCCAAAACCCTCCCCAGGCTCATCACAGAGCCGATTTCCAGTAGCTGGGGGTGGGTCCCTTGGGGGAAAAAGCCACCCTCTCCAACCTTCACCCCGGCTTCATGCTCCCTCTCCTTCCTCTTGCAGAGTCGGTGCCAATGGCGGTGATCATCGGAGTGGCCGTGGGGGCCGGCGTGGCGTTCCTGGTGTTGATGGCCACCATCGTCGCCTTCTGCTGCGCCCGCTCCCAGAGGAGTAAGTGTCTCCCCCAGCCCTGCTGCATCCATTTGGGCAGGGCTGGGACTTCAAACCTTGCCGGGGGAGCAAATAGAGTGGGTGACAAAGAAATTAAAAAGTCTGAAATTTACTGACACAGCACCAGCACAATCTGCTCCTCGTGTTGGGCTACCAAATGTTCAGTGCTGCTCAGCTGTGAATGGTGACCCTGCAGGGAGAGGAAAGGGTTGTGGAGCACATGGAAAAACATGCCAGGGTAAATGCTCATCCCCGTTGGCAGCTCGGGAGTCAGGCAGGGGTGTCCTCAGCAAAGGAACCTGCTCTTAGTCCTTCCCTTGGAGAAATCTTGCTGTCCAAAAGGGAGAAGCATCCTCGATGTGCTACGCTGGTGCTTAAAAGCCCCCCTCGGTCTCTGCTTTCTGTTTTAATTTCATTTTTCTTGACATAAAATGCATATTTCCTAGTGGGAAATTACAGCCGGATGAGGGGTTTTACATGGAACATGGGTTTTGAAGCCTGGCTGCGGTGGGAATACAAGTTAAAACAACGTTAGATGCAGGTAGAGGAGAAGGAGGTGTAAACAGGGTGGTATCGTGTTACCTCATTGAAAAGACACGGGGAAATTAAAGGAGGGTTGGTGGCTTCATGAAAAAGCATCAAACCAGGAGGGAGAAGAGCTTGATTGTCTGGAGCATCTCAGGCCACCGGGGAGAAGAGGAGCTAGTCGACGGTGCTCCCTGCTCGGGAGGCACATGGGATGGATGCTGGGATACCAAGCTCTCTGTGTGTGTGCCAGAAAACCCGGTTGTTTTTCTTTTCATTTTTCCCCCTCTTGATCATTTGCAAAGCAATCAAAGACACCAGGCTCCTCCTGGATTTGGGTATGAGCGCGCGGCCTCCCGCAGCAGAAAAGTGTTTAATTTTGAGAGCGATAATAATGCCTCTCCCTGTTTTATCCCACGGTTTTTTGAACTCTTGCAGCCTCCATTAGCAAGCATTAACGAATTCAATGAGGGGCGGTAATTAATCTTGCTTTTTGGGGAAGGATTGCTGATGGACAGGACCCAAAACCAGGCCAATTGGATGTTGTGGAGATCATTCAGCAGTGATGGACGACTCAAGCACCTGAAGAAAGCAGGGGCCGAGCCATGTTAACGTGTCAATGGTTGGACGTAATCAGCCATGCTTTCCCCACGCCACATCCTTCAGAGCAGGGAAGAGCATGTGGTTCATTATCCTCCTCTTATTTGATGTAAACAGATGGTGCAGGGTGCTTTACAAGGACATACGATTGAACACTAACGCCATGACAACAGATCAAAGCCTTGGTGCAAGTGCCAGGTTTTAGAGTCCCGCACAAGCTGGAAGCGTGCAGAGGGTGGGCAGGTCTTTGAGGGGAAAAAGCAGGGCTTTTGGGGGGGGGAAAAGCAGGATGCTGTGGTGTTAATGAAGCGAATCCTGGGTGCAGGCAGGGTTCCCCAGCCTGAGATTCGAGCAGGGGGTGCTGGTGGCAGTGGGGCTGCTTGGTTCCCCCATCACATGGCTCCAAGAGCCACTTGGAGCTGCCAAAACAGGGTCCCTCCTTGTTTTGGGGGGGAGTTGGGGCTATCAGCAGCTAAACCAGTCCCTGAGTGACACTCATGGTGCAAAACCCTGCGGGGGACGACGTGACTGTCCTAGTGCAAAGGGCTTTTATACCAACTTCGCAGGTGCTGATGCAAACTGGGTGCTGTGGCTGCTATCTATCTCCAGTGGCAGGTGAGTGTTAGGAAGGCAGAAACACCAGGCTGAGAAGGTGAGGAAAGGACTCTGATCATGGTTAGCAGTGTGAAATCAGCAGAGGTATTACAGAGATCAGCTCAGAAGTGATGGGACCAGCAGAGCACTTTGATATCAGGAGAGGGACTCATTTCCTACCACGATGACTGCAGATTCCTCTCCCAGGACAAATACCAGAGCTTTGTTGCATCATTTAAAACAACAGCCTGCAAACAAAACCCATCGGCAGGCTGTTGGGATGGCTCCACATGGCTCCCAGCGGAGGGGACAAGGTGACCCAGCAGCAATTCTGGAGAAGGCATCTCCTAATGGCTGCAACTGGCCGCAGCTAATGGCACTGCAGGAGGCAATTCCTGGGCTTGCTTTGGGGAGATGCTGCAAAAAAATGCACCAGGTACAGACACACCAAGCCTGGAGGCTCTGGAAAAATAAATAAAAAATATATACTTTACTGCACATCTGTTGTTGTATCTTCGGTGACTTTACGGCCCAGAGTTATTTAATGGGGAACACTCCTGGGAGAGGATGTGCAAGACAGTAATTAGCTTCTCCTTGTGATTAAAGACGGCAGCTCCAGCACCAGGAACGTGGGCTCAGCAAGAGAATTAAAAATAAAAGAAAGAGCAGTAGTAACTCCCCAGCAAACCCCTTTGCCTTGCACCCTGTGACTTGGGAGATGTCTGTGGGTGACAGCAGGGCTGCAGATATCAAGAGCACGGGATGCTGAGATGGATTAGTTCAAGGCTGGAGCTTCAAGCTGGTCTCAGTTGTGTGATCCGTTTTGGTTTACAGATAAAGTCGTCTCCTCCTGCGTGGTCCAGGCTTTGCTGGACTGAGTTGGTGCAGTCCTGGCTTGGCAGGGCGCTGCTGGTTCCTTCAGCTGGAGGTAGATCTGACAAGCCCAGCAATTCAAGGCAGTTTTGGGTCCAGGAGGGTTGGCACAGCCACCCTGGGAGGTGAGAGCCAGCTAAAGCCTGCCTTCAAAGCTGGGAGCTGTTTAGATCTTGCTGTTCAGATTTACATCCATCTCTGTTTTTCATCTTGGATTCATGCAGCCGATTCTGCTCCTGCTGCTCCGTGTCTTTGGTTTAATTTTGCTAAAATGACTTCTTCAAAGCCTGCCTGACACCTTCAGGGAAGGTGGAGAGTCTCTCCAGAAATGTTTCTCTCTGCCCTGCATGAGAACAGGCTGCTTGGAGCAGCAGCCAGGGATGATTTTGTTCTTCCCGAAGCCCTGGCTACATCTTTGCTTATTGCTCGGCCTTTTCCATATGTGTCTGCCCCCCAGACCTGGGGAAGGCTTTTCTCAGGGCCTCCTCAGTGCCAGGGGAGAGCTGGTACATCCCTCAGGAGCAACATTTCATGTGTTCCCTGAGCAGACGCTGTAGATCAGCAGTCTGGACAAACATCCCACCGTCTGTTCGAGCAGTTCTGCCGCAGCCCAGCCCCTGCGAAACGCATGAGTGTGGCAGAGAATTACCAAGCTCCCAAAGAAATGAAAATGGAAATCTGAGCTCCCCAGAGGTGAAGGTTTCACACGTCCCTACCTTATGGCAATGCAAATATTACAGAATCACAGAGTCATTCAGGTCAGAAAAGCCCCTCGGGATCATCGAGTCCAACCCTCAGCCCCACTCTACAAGTTCTCCCCTACCCCACATCCCCCACAGCTCATCCCAAC